ATGCCCTGTAGTTTTTATTTATGTTTCTATTTATGGTGAGCTCTTTGTTCACATAGTTTCATCATTTTACGTTGGGTTTTTAATCTCATTCTTAGGGATTTGTAGATTATATTTTTATACTAAATATATTAGCTCTCTGTCTGAGGTATGAATAGTGAAAAGGGTCTGCAGTCTGCACTTTGCATTGCCTTTCATATTGAAATTCTTGCTATAAAAATAATTATTTTTATGTGTTCTAATTTATCAATATCTTCTTTTATGGGTTCTGGGTTTAGTAACCTATTTTGGAAGGTCTTCCCCATTCTTAGATGATAAAAATGTTCTCTGTTTTTTTTTTTCCTTTCTTTTTTTTTTTTTTTTTTTTTTGAGACAAGGTCTCGCTCTGTCACCCAGGCTAGAGTGCAATGGTGCAGTCTCGGATCACTGAAACCTCAACCTGCTGGACTCAAGTGATACTCCCACCTCAGCCTCCTGAGTAGCTAGGACCACAGGCATGCACCACCGTGACTGGCTAATTTTTGTATTTTTTGTAGAGATGGGATTTCTCCATGTTGCCTAGGCTGGTCTTGAACTCTTGAGCTCAAGTGATCTACCAGTCTTGATCTCCCTAAGTACTGGGATTACAGGTGTGAGCTACTGTGCCAGGCCCATATTTTTTTCTAGAATTATGTCATTTTATATTTATGCTTAAATTTTTGATCCGTCTGTTACTGGAAAGGGGTCTGGATCCAGACCCCAAGAGAGGGTTCTTGAATCTCAAGTAAGAAAGAATTCAGGGCGAGTCCATACAGTACAGTGAAAGCAAGTTTATTAAGAAAGTAAAGGAATAAAAGAATGACTATTCCATAGGCAGAATAGCCCCAAGGGTTGCTGATTGCCCATTTTTATGGTTATTTCTTGATGATATGCTAAACAAGGGGTGGATTATTCATGCCTCCCCTTTTTAGACCACATTGGATAACTTGTGATTAGAGGGTTGGAACTTCGAGCCCCACCCCTGGACCTCTGAGGACAGGAGAGGGACTGAAGATTCATCTAACCACCAATTGCCAATGATTTAATCAATCATACCTATGTAATTGGACAACTATAAAAATCCTAAACAATGGGATTTGGGGAACTTGCCAATTGGTGAATACATCAGTGTACTGGGAGGGTGGAGCACCCCATTCCCTTGGGAACAGAAACTCCAGTACACTTCCAGACATTGTCTTACCTAATGTTTTTCATTTGGTTGTATATTTGTGTCTTTTATAATATCCTTTGTAATAAACCAGTAAGAGTAACTGAAGTGTTTCCTCGAGTTCTATATAGCAAATTATTGAAACTGAGGAAGGAGTCCTGGGAATCCCCAATTTATAGCCATTTGGTCAGAAGGATATGAGGCCCAGGACATATTATTGGCATCTGGAGCGGGGAGCAGTTTTGCGGGACACACCCCTTTACCTGTGAGGTCTGCACTAACTCTGAGTAGTGTCAGAACTGAGTGTAATTGTAATTAGTGTCCTAAGAGTTGGAAAATTGGCTGGTATGGGGAAGAAAAACCCCACACACATGGCGATAGAAGTGTTATGGATAAAAGCAGTTCAGCTATACTAAGTATCTGATAATATTCAGATCTAACTTTGAAGCCCTATTCTGTTTGTGTGTATATCTGTATGTGCATATGTGTGTTTGTATATGTGGCTTGTATGCCTTTGCTTTATAACAATACATTTTTTTCTTCCATCAAAGTTGTTCCCATCATGACTATGTTATTCTTACAGAACTTTTCTGGATATTATTGCTTATTTATTTTTCCCCACAAACAATATAATCAGTGTCTCTCAATAAAATGTTAGGATTCTCTTAAATTTTGAGATTAATTAAGGAAGAATTGACAGCTTTGTAATGAGAAATTTTTCTATGCAAGGGTGTGTCTACTTTTGGTAAATTTTGAGTCATAGTATTTTAGAGTTTTACTTATATAGGCTTTCATCATTTCTTGCTAAGTTTACTCCTGAGATATTGATTAGTTTTTGGTGTGATAACTGATTCATCGAACAAGGGTGCTCTTAGAGTGCAACTATAAAACTTAATTTTTTGTCTTCCTTTTCCACTGCCCATTCATACTCACTCTTGGAGGATTATATTTTCCCTGACTCTGGTTGAAATCACAGGCAGGCCCATACTCTGTCCACTTACTCCTTGTATTAGTCAGTTTTCATGCTGCTAATAAAGACATACCTGAGACTGGGCAATTTACAAAAGAAAGAAGTTTAACTGGATTTATAGTTCCACGTGACTGTGGAAACCTCACAGTCATGGCAGAAAACCAGGAGGAGCAAGTCACATCTTATGTGGATGGCAGCAGGCAAAGAGATAAGCTTGTGCAAGGAAACTCCTCTTTTTAAAACCATCAGATCGTGTGAGTCTTACTGACTATCACGAGAACAGCACGGGAAAGACTTGCTCCCATGATTCAATTACCTCCCACTGGGCCCCTCCCACAACATGTGGGAATTCCAGATGAGATTTGGGTGGGGACACAGCCACACCATATCACTCCTATGTAATTTTAGGCAAACAACAACAAAAACATAGTTTCTCCATAGAGTGCTCGTTCATTAAGCAGCTTTCTGAATCTCAAAGTTAAAGCAGTCACCTCCCACCCACTCATCTCAGACCCTCTTCAGGCCAGCCTTCTGCAATACAGAAAGGGTTCTGGCCAGATGTTTCTCTCTTTCCTTGAGTTGCTTCTGTTTTTGAAGCCCCCGTGGTTGGCATTGATTTCCTGGCTCCAAAAAAGCTGACTTTCCAGGTTTGCTGGGGGGTTGAGAAAATCAGCTCCTATTTTGGGGGTGTGTCTCTGAATTCTCCAGAGCCCCCCAACTATTCACATTACCTGCCTGCATCTTGTGATGCAGGTGATTCATTTTTCTCCAGCTGAGCACTTAACATCTCTCTTCAGTTTCTAAGAATCTAAAGCCTTCTTCCCCTTCCCCTCCATCCTTATTTTGGAACTCCATACCTCTTCAGGAAGTCCTCTTGGCCAGATTTTGAAATGGCTTCAAGCTATGCCTCTCTTCCACAGGGTTCAAGTCCATCCACAAGAAACACTCGCACACCATTGCACCCACCTGTAAAAATGCAGCTCCTGCCTCCGGCAGATGACCGTATCTCCCCTGAAATAAATGTTCCTTTATCTGCTTTTCAAGAGAAAGTTTGCTCCTTAAGATTCCTCAGGCGTGTGTCTACACAGGGCTCTCCTCCCCACACCAAGCTGGCCTTAATATTGTCCTCAAATTGACTATAGGCTCCTCATCTCCCTTTTCTTAGAACATTTGCTTTAGAGAACTTGTAATTGTGAATTCTTTCTCTGCCTCATTGAGATATAAATCTTCTCTTAGCCTCTTGCCAGTTTTACAACCCAGAAATATCTATCTCTAAGACTTGGGCGCCGTCCCTTTGAAATGTAATCATCTAGAAAGATAGTGCCTCTATCTCCTGTATGGTAAAACTCTTAGAATTTATTATTTTATCTACCAATATTTCTTTCTAATTCTAGAATTCTGCTTTTATCTTTGTTAGTTATTGCCTTCTATTGGATAGTCTTCTTTTTTTCTTATATTTTGTATATGTATTCAGTTGCTTAAGACTTGCTTCCTTTAAATTGATAAATTATAGACATATGTCAATTTTTTTCAAGTTTTGTTATGAATTACCAGTTCCATTATGATCAAGGAATATTATGTGTACCATGTTGATTTTTGGAATATTTTGGAGGTTTTCTTTGTGAACCAATGTATCACCAGATTTTGTTATTATTCAAAAGTGCTTAGGTAGTAGAACTATTTTTGAAGTCCATTTTAAAATAATTTCTTCAAGAAGGAATTGTTGGAAACATATACATTTATTTAATACATGTTTGAATATGACCGACTCCCCTGACTTATGCTTTAACGACGGTTTGGCTTGGTAGACAATTCTGAGGTCATGCCTTTTCTTGAAGACTAAACAAGCTAATTATAAAGAAGTTTTACCTTCTCCTTGGCAAACTAAATCAAAGTTAATTTTCTAGCACTATTTTCTGTAAAGCCTAACAAAGCTGAAATATTGACTGAGCTACTAGCAGTATTTTCCATGATTGGCAAACTGCATCTAAACTGGGAGGACTTTGACTAGGATTATATAAGCCTGATGGGAAGCACAGCTGGGGTATCCTCAAGTGCAATGTAACTCTTGAAATTTAGCATGTCTCTTGTAGTGGTGACTTCTGGAAGCTACACACATACACTCATGGGTGTTACAAGTGATACTGATTGCTACCAAGCATGAAGCTTTTGAGGCAGGGTGGCCCCTATACACATCTATGTGGCATTGTTTCTGAGGTATTAACTGGAGGACTAGAAAATATCTCCTGGATCACTATGAGGATTCTCTCTAAAGACACAGCTGATACATCTATGCTAATATGCTGTGTTTCTTGTTTTACATCTCTCCACAAAGCAAAAGGTACAAGAGATGGCCTAGTTTGCCTTACAAATGTCAATATCCAGCCTAGCCCCAAGGTCACTCCTACAGACTAGGTGTTGCAAATATCAAACGTTTAAATATTAAGAATGGCTGCATAAAATCTAATACAGAAGAGCAATAAAATAAAATCAGTCATCAACAGTTAAAATATGTTATACATTATGATAGTTAAAACAACATTGTACTGGTACATGAATAGCCAAAGAGACAATAGAACAGAATAGAAAATCAAGAAACAGTTACCAGTGCATGCAAGGTTTGCCATTTTAAGTGGCATTTTAAATCAGTGGGAAAAAAAGAATGAATTATTTTACTGACAACTAGTTGTGTTGGAATATATAAGCAGCCATTTAGATGAAATACAGTTGGATTACTCTTCTATATCCTATGTCTTACCAGCCGATTATATGTAGTTAAATCATGTCAAAATTTTAAGAGATAAAGCTTCCTTCTCTGAAATGAATTTTGTTTTATTTGCATTTCAGGAGAAAGTTCTGCCACTAATGAACCTAGGTGAGAACTCTTCCTAATTCTAGAGGTCTCCTTCATTCAGTTTTAAATACTTACTGTACTCTGCTTGTATGTTGAGATTGAGGCTATGTAATTAACATGATATCTTTCTATAATACTTACTCTTGTCTCTACTGCATTACATTTATGCCACCAAGGCACTGTCTTAAGGTGGTCCACATGATCCTAGGTGTTATCTTGTATAGGATTACATACATTTAAATTAATACATAAATTCATATATTCAAGATTATTGAATATCTTTAATGTATAAGTAAGTTTTTGTTAGCTATTTAGAGGAATGAACATACACACAAAATGTGTATTTCCTCAAGGGACATACTGTGCTGTAGGTATCTAGTATATGTCCAGAGTACAAGAAGGAGTGAGAGAGATAAAGTAATGAGAAAAAGGCAGGCAAAGTTTTATGACAATTTATAAGAAAAAAAAAAGATTCTGGAGCAATATCATTGTCTTATTTATAACTTTTGAAAAAGCCAAAGATAAGGCACAGAACATTTTGGCCATATCCAAGTAGACAGTCTATACAAAGGGCCATAAAATCACCCAAGCAGAGAGCCATGACTGCAGGGCTTTTACCTGCTCTCTCCTCAGCCAGTCTCCCTTCTGTTCTCACTCACTGCTCTGGGGACTATCATGCAGTTAATTCACTTTCTCACAGAGGTGATTGCAGGCTGAATCCTCAAGAGTTCACCTATTCAAGCCCAATCCCAAAAATGGAGGAGCTGCAGCCAGTGTATGTCAATGGTGAGTGTCTCCACTGGGAGGAGCTCTGAGGCTGAGGCAGAAAAGAGAGAGGAGACAGGAGTAGAGACCATTAGGTGGTCTAGGCACCTCAACCCCTGAGGCCCAGCCATTCCCAATAAATAAATGACTGTCTCAGAATCATGTTGGGGTTGGGAGGAAGGATATAATCATTAAGCCAGGGACGGGGAAGATGTGTGTGAAGTGAACCCTTGGCCACTAACATCTGTGAACTCTTGTCTTCTCCCTGCAGTGGGCTCTGTAGATGTGGATGTGGTTTATTCTCAGGTCTGGAGCATCCAGCAGCCAGAAAGCTCAGGTGAGAAACTGCAAAGTGGTTCTTGTCAGATGTATATTCACAGGAAAGTCATGCATTGTATGCAATAGAGGCTTTATTTATGTATTTATCTATTTATTTATTTATTTATCTATCTATTTTTTAGAAGGAGTTTTGCTATGTTGCCCAGGCTGGAGAGCAGTGGTGCAATGTCAGCTCACTGCAATCTCTTCCTGTGAGCTCAATCAGACTCTTGAGCAACTGGGATGATAGGCATGTGCCACCATGCCCAGCTAATTTTTGTATTTTTTTAGTAGAGACGGGGTTTTACCATGTTGGCCAGGCTGGACTCAAACTCTTGACCTCAAGTTATCCACCTGCCTCAGCCTCCCAAAATGCTGGGATTACAGGTGTGAGCCACTGCACCCGGCCAGCAATAGAGGCTTTAATACATCGCTTGCCCTTGATAGGAAATCTGTTGATCCAGGAGGGAGCAAGAGACACCTGGAGGTAGGCTCTTATGAAGAAACCAAACTTAAAAAAAAATAGGGAGATGGTCTAATAAGTCTTCATTTGAATGGCGTTAGATAGTCAGGGAGAATCTAAGATTCAAGGCAAAAGAAGGAAGTCAGGCAAGAGTGAGCATGTCTAAAGTCCAAGAGGAATTCTCTCAGGTGAACAGGGTCCTTAAAGTGTCTCCTTTGAAGGATCTGCAGTCTTCATATGGGATGGGAGGAATAACTGAATAAATCAACATGACCTAGAGAATTTTCACTTCGACATGTAGTTTTGCAGGAATTGCTGAGTTCTGCAGCAGTGCAGAGGAGTGTCCTTTAAGCTTCTGCTCCAGTGCCCTTAAAACTATAACCCTTATACCAACAACCCTAAAAGCTATCCTTTGTTCTGTGCTCCTGGTTGCCTCTGATGGAGCCAGTGGCTCTTGATAGCTTGGCTGATTTCCTGGTCAGTAGTCATTTAGCTACTCTCCTCTGAGCCTCTGAAGCTGGGTCCTCTGCCTGCCTTGCTTAGATTTGTGCCACTTCAGCTTCCTATAGGGAGTTGATTACTCTAGCATTCTTTTTCTCTGTCTGACCAGCCTAGCAGAATCAAAAAGTGCAGTCATTTTCCAAGCTTCTGGCTGTAAATCTTCAGGGGAAGGAAGGCGATGTCATCCCACTGTGCATACCTGGAAAAGGGGGAAAAGAAGCAGACATCACTAAGCAGCTCCTGCAACCAGACTCAAAATACTGTATGATTCAGAGTCTGTTTTCTGTTATCTATGATTCTACTCCAATTTCCTTCTATGTACTGAGGTGAACCATACATGGTTGGTTATCTCAGGAACATGAAGAAACAACAGGAAACAGCCCTGACAGAGTGCTGTAATAGAGAAGTCGAGAGGAAAAAAGTATAAAGACAATGACCTAGGGGAAGTTGCATTACAGAAGAGAAGCACTTCGTTAATAAGTGCTGGTAGAGGGCTTGGAAGATGGATAGAGTCTTAGAAGGACTTCAGCATTAACAACTTTAAGAAAGGATTTTACAGAACAGGAGAAAATGGAATTCCACACACTAAGCATAGTAGTTATATGCCCTGGGGCATAAAGTCTGGGAGTGAGGCCTAAGTAACAATGCAAGAGCTCAGAACTATTACTTTTTTCTTAACAGCAAACATCAGGACACTTCTGGAGAACAAGGTGAGCTAGACTCCTTGGAAGTTCTTCATCTTTCCTTCCTCCACCCTATTTATTTTCTTGATCACTTCTTTCCTTATTCCTGTATGTCTCTCCCAGGACTCCCAAGTCATCTACTCTTCTGTGAAGAAATCATAACACTTGGAGGAATCAGAAGGGAAGATCAACAACAAGGATGGGGCATCATTAAGACTTGCCATAAAACCTTATGTAAATGCTCGAGGCTTATCACCTGCCACAGCCACAACATGCTTCAGGAGCCACCTCCTGTCATCTTTTTTGTTCTGATCATGTTCCTTCTCCAATATCTTCTTTTACTCATTAATATTCATTGAACTGTTACTACATTCAGACACTGTGCAAATAAATTATTTCTGCTACCTTCTCTTAAGCAATCAGTGTGTAAAGGGTTGAGGGAAGAATAAGCAAGAGATACAAGGTCTCACCTTCCTCTACTGTAAGGTGATGAGAACACGACTTGATAGTAGTATATTAACTTACTTATGTGCTGCTGGATACAGTTTGCTAATATTTTGTTGAGAATTTTTGCAAATATGTTCATAGGGAATATTGGCCTGAAATTATCTTTTCCACTGTGTCTCTGCCAGAATATTTGTATCAGGCTGATGCTGGCTTCATAGAATGAGTTAGGAAGGAGCCCTTCCTCCTTGATTTTTTGGCATAGTTTCAGCAGGATTGGTACCAGTTATTCTTTGTACATCTGGTAGAATTCAGCTGTGAATCCATCTGGTCTAGGGCTTTTATGTTGGTTGGTAAGTTTTTTAATACTAATTCAACTTCAGAGCTTGATATTTGTCTAGGAAGCGTTTCTGCCCCTTCCTGGTTCAATCCTGGGAGATTGTATGTTTTCAGGAATTTAGCCATTTCCTCCAGATTTTCTTCTTTATGTGCATAGAGTTGAGTGTAAACATAACTTATATGCACTGGGAAACAAAAAAATCTGTGTGACTCGCTTTATTGCAATATTTGCTTTATTTTGGTGGTCTGGAACTGAACCTGCAATATCACCAAGGTATGCCTACAGTTGCAAAAATGTGATTTTTCACATAGTAAATATGAGTGTTTGCAATAAACTATGATATTACTTTTATAAGTATATAGAATAAAATATAAATACTCTATGGATTTGATACTGTCATATTTTCTTTTCTCTGTGAATGCACATTTTCCTTTTTTCTTCCAGCTTATATTTTAGGTTCAGGGGGTACATGTGTGGGTGTGTTATATGGGTAAATTGCATGTCACAGGGGTTTGGTGTACAGATTATTTTGTTACCAAGGTAATTAGCCTAGTACTCAATAGGTAATTTCTCTTTTTTTTTTTTTTTTTTTTTTGGACGGAGTCTCACTCTGGTAAGTGCAGTGGCGTGATCTCGGCCTCACTGCAAGCTCACCTCCCTGGTTCACGCCATTCTCCTGCCTCAGCCTCCCGAGTAGCTGGGACTACAGGCACTAACCACCACGCCCGGCTAATTTTTTGTATCTTCAGTAGATACGGGTTTTCACCATGTTAACCAGGATGGCCTTGATCTTCTCACCTCATGATCCGCTCGCTTCGGCCTCCCAAAGTGCTGGGATTACGAGCAGGAGCCACCGCGCCCAGCCCTCAATAGGTAATTTTTCAATCCTCACTTTCTTCTCACCCTCCACCCTCCAGGAGGCCCCAGCTTCTATTGTTCTCTTCTTTTTCAAAGAAAAATTTAAAATTTTTGTGGGTATGTAGTAAGTGTATATATTTATGGGGTACATGACATAAATAGTAAGTGTATACTTTTATGGGGTACATGAAATATTCTGATACAGGCATGCAATGTATAATAATCACGCCATGAAGAATGGGGTGTCCATCCTCCCAGGCATTTATCCTTTGCATTTAAAACAATCCAGTTACATTATTGAAGTTACTGTAAAATACAAAATTAAGTTACTACTGATTATAATTGTGCTATTAATAAGTAGGTCTTATTCATTCTTTTTATTTTTTTTGTACCCATTAACCATCCCCACCTTGCCTCCTATTGTTCCCTTCACTGTGTGCAAGTTTTGTTTTTTTTTTAATTTTATGGCTGTGAATGCACATTTTCACTGGTATTTTTTCATTCAAAATTTTAGGTGCAATGTAATTCATCTTTATTTCTGAAAATACTTTACTGATCACTTGCATTTAAAAAAATTTCTATGATCATAAGCCTCTGTGTTAAAACATTTCTTCTGCATTGAATTATCTTTAGAATTATTATAGGTACAAAACTGACCAAAACCATGGAAATAAATTATTAAACATAAAAAGGTAAATTGTATGAAAATCCACCTCTTAATGACTCAGTGGAGTACTTTTTAACATTTTAGAATTGAAACATGTATCCATGAATAAATTTAGTCAACTGATTCACCAGACATTTATTGAAAATCTATAAGAACCAAGTGTTAGGCATATAGAATATAAGTTTGCAAAAATCTCAACCCTCGACTCTATTTTAATTTTCTTAAAATAGACACATGTCAGCACTGAGAAATCTTCACATGAATAGACTGGAATAAAAGGACCTTTTATTTTTTAAAAATAGAAGTTTTACATAATTTTTTGTAAGACTTGTCTAAAGATCATTAATGTGTCTTTATCACTTAAAGACACCTTGTTTAACCCAAATACGCATGAAACGTTGAGAAAAATAAGAATACCCCAACCTGCTTGACTGTCCTCCTTAGAAGCTCACTTAAACAGTGATCTCCTTTAACTGCCCATTGGTCCTGTCCAGTGATGGCGGTAGGTAGTCACCATGCCCACGCCTTCAGTATTCTGATAGCTGCTGGCTCCTGGGTTAATTGTGGGGATGAGCTTGTCCCATTTTGTGACAACCCCACAGGACATCCCAACTTTCAGTCCCGGATGCTCAGAGATCAGAAATTAGGTGGTGGATGTTTAGGATGCTTAATTCCTCTGAAGGTCTTTCCTAGGGACACTCAAAGGTATTTCCATTTATTTGGTTCCATCTACATGAAATCTCTCAAAATTTCTGTTTTATATGTGTCATTGTGCTTATGTACATTTCTCCTAATTTTGGTTTCTTTGGTCATTTTAATGGTAATATGAAAAGAAAAGAAATTCAGCATGAAAATAAAAATAATCACAAGGATGATAATAATCTTGAAATAAGTATCTCTCTTCTTTATGATACTTTCTTTACTGTTTTTCTTTTTTCTTTTTTTTTTTTTTCTTTTTTGAGACAGGGTTTTGCTCTGTAACCCACACTGGAGTGCAGTGGCATGATCATAGCTTACTGCCTTGAACTACAGGCACATACCACCATGCTCAGATAATTTTAAAAATATTTTTGTAGAGATGAGGGTCTCACAATGTTGCCCAGTCCAGTCTTGAACTCCTGGCCTCAAGTGATCCTCCAGCCTTGGCCTCCCAAAGTGCTGTGATTATAGACATGAGCCAGTGTGCCTGGCTATAATTTGTTAAATTTATATACATATCACTTTTTTCTCATCTTCACTGTCTATTCTGAACTGTAATTCTGTTCCATTATTTCGGTCTAACCATTCTTGGCAGCTATCATGCTAATTTTATTTTTAGAGTTTAAGATGTATTATTATATTATCGCTGATATTTCCTCATTAGCCATTGTTAAAAATAATAGATAGCAAAATGAGTTTTGAGAGAAATTACTAAAGTGGGAGAAATTATTCTTCCTGATGTTAAGGATTATTATATAGCTACAGTAATAATGACAGGATGTTACTGGTGGAAGGATAGACCCATAGGTCAGTGGAACAGAACAGAGGACTCCAAAACATACCTACACAAATATGCTCAAATGATTTTTGATAGTCTATGAAGCAATTGAAAGGAGGAAGTGTAACCTTTTCAATAAATAGTACTCAAGAAATTGGACATCCGTAAGCAAAGGAAATGAACCTTAATCTAAATCTCACATCTTACATAAAAATTAATTCAAAATGGATCACATACTCAAGTGTAACATGTAAAAATTTAGTAAATTTAGAAAAAAATACATGAAAAAAATCTTTGGGATGAACTAAGAATAAGTAAAGAGGTCTTAGAGTTGACACTAAAACAAAGAATAGAAAAGATTTATAAAAGAAAAAGTCACTGAATTGGATCTCTTCAAAATTAAAAATCTTACTCTGTAAGAGATCCTGTTAATAGAATGAAAAAGCAATTTAAAGGTTTAGATAAAATATTAGTATCCAATATCCAACAAATGACTTGTATCTAGACATTATCAAGAGCTATCAAATGCAACAGTAAAAATAAACAATCCAAGTTAAAAATGGACAAAACGTGAACATTCTCCAAAAAGGATTTACATACAGAAAACAGGTAATAATCACATGAAAAGTTATTCAACATTAGCTGTTAGAGAAATATAAATTAAACTAACAGTGAGACATCAGTACACATCTATCAGAATGACTAAAATGAAAAATGGTAATCGTGTCATCTTACAAGGAGATACGACATTCTCTGACCATCCAGGACTGAGAGTTGGGATGTCCCATGGGGTTATCAAAAAATGGCATAATCTCATCCCTACAATTAACCCTAGAGCCAGCAACTATCAGAATACTGAAGGCATGGGCATGGTGCCTACCTACAGCCATCACTGGACAGGACCAATGCCCAGTTAAAGGAGATCACTGTTTACGTGAGCTTCTAAGGAGGACGGTCAAGCAGGTTGGTGTATTCTTATTTTTCTCAATGTTTCCTGTATATTTGGGTTAAACAAAGTGTCTTTAAGTGATAAAGACACATTAATGATTCTCAGACAAGTCTTTAAAAAATTGCGTAAAACTTTTATTTTTTTTTAATAAAAAGTCCTTTTATTCCAATCTATCTATTCACGCAAATAAGGTTTCTCAGTGCTGGCATACAAGGGATACTGGCAAGGAGACAAAGAACCTGGATCACTCATTCATTGCTGGTGAGAATGTAAAATGGTAACCGCTCTGGAAAACAATTGGCATTTCCGTTTTAAACATGTATATATCATAAGAACCAGCAGTCACACTAGTGAGCATTTATCCCAGAGAAAATGAAAACCTATGTTCATGAAAAATCTGTATATGTGTGTTTATAGAAGCTTTATTCATAATAACTAAAACCGAGAAACAACCCCAAAGTCCTTCACTGAATGAATAAACAAGTTTTGGTACATTCATACCATGGAATGTTAGCGATAGAAAGGAAGAAATTATTGATATATACAAAGATGGTTCTCCAGGGATGTACTGAGTGAAAAAAATCTATCTAAAAAGATTGATTTCCATTTATTTCCACACTTCCATTAATATAGCATTTTTAAATAACACAATTATATGGATGGAGAAGAGATTAGTGATTGAAA